CTCCTAAACACTACACCAAACTGGCTAACCTAGAGGGTAATGTCACCACTCATACCCCAGTATGGCAACCCTTTGTGCCACAGACATTCAAGGATGATCCAGTAGAACATATCTGAAATGAGGGATTCAGACCACAAGATCAGCTTTAGTTTGCTGTAGGTCCAGAGGCTTCAGGTCACATGCAGGACTTCTGAAACATAACGAAGACCTCTCTACACAAGCAGGGAGTGCCCCCATTTTCTTGGCTGAGTTGAAGAATATGGGGTGCATATCGGTGGGGATTCCCTCAACGGTGAAGGCAATGGGGAGTTCTGGATGGTAGCCGTAAGGTTGAAAGGGAAGCCAGAAGGCATGGCGCTCCATTACATTGCTGGCCTGTCTATCACAGTAGAGTCTGCCGACAGGCAAAGGCATTCCCCAGCTCTGCTAGCTAAGATCATCTACTGAGACGTGCAAGAAACCAGATTAAGCCCCCGTGCCCTTCTCGGGTTTAGAATATGGATGAGATCATGAACTGGTTACATTACGGGCTTTTGAGGGACTGTCCAGTTGGCCTCTGGGTATACGAAGCCTCCTTCCCCAGCTAAATTTAGCAGTGCTTTTGCGACCAAATAAATATGATAGTTTTGTGCTGCAGAACTTTGCGAAAGGGCAGGAGGAGGAGGAGGAGGAGGAGGAGGAGGAGGAGGAAGGAAGGAAGGAAGGAGGGGACAGAACATGACAGAGTTGATTCAAGAATGGCTGTGGTTTCACAGGACAACTTGATACCGAAAGCAATCACCACCGCAGTAATCGAACTATCGAACCCTCTGTGTAGACCCCACGTGCTTATAACAGCCAGAAACTGATCACCGTTGATCGAAGGCCAGAGATTTTCAAATCGTGTTATGCCCTGACAGATTATCAGGGTTCTCTCAATAAGTCAGTTTCTCTGAAAGAGTAATTGGCCACCACTCCCAATCTTTTTCTGCCTCAGGTGAGTGACGAGTGTTTAAGCACCCTATCTGAGAGCGCTGTAAAGTCCATTAGCTCTGAACGGCCCCTCCTAAGAGTCTGAATTCTGCAGCCTTTCCCAGGACCCTTTGCAGCGCAGACAGAATCCTCCACAGACACACAAAGGCTCCGTGAGGTCAGAGTGCTTAGAAAATCACTGCCGTGGACAGCAATGGCTACAGAGTGCATTTAACGGCACTGCCATCGGGGTTGGCCCTGGGACTGAAACTCTGGAGTCCCGGCTCGTGGGTTCAAAAGGCCTCTCGCCCACCCAAGAGCTGGCTGTAATTTTGCATTTGAAGTATATGCTACCAGCAAAAGGCCGGGTGGCTCCAGAAGACCAGAGTTTTGAATCGCCTTACTCCACCCACCCACCTCATCCATACAAAATGCATTTATGAACTGACCTAAGTGCAGGGAAATCTTTTTTTTTTTTAATAGCCTATCTGAGAGTTCAAAGCCGAACACACCTAGCACTCCACATACTGCTATTCCGCATGCATTATTTTTGTACAACGACATCATGCAACATCAACTATACAGGCAGTTTTACATCCGACATGGTCACTGATTTCTACCTACAGTTCAAGGACTTTCTTACCTGAAGAATTGCTTCTAAAACCTGGGAGTCTGGTCCTTTACCCTGTTTTCACTTTTGCAGGTTTGAATGGCTTTTCTTTTCCTTGTGAAAAAAAAAGAACCTTCTGTTTCCCACTAGGTCTCTGCGTATTTTGCTGATGCAACGGGTGGTGACGTGAGCTATGAGGAATCCCAGTCTTCCAAGCCCCTACTCGGAGGAGTGGTCCGTACATCCATGCACATTGGGGCAAGGGAGTTCTTACTGGACAATTCTCTGTAAGTGCAATCGAAGATAAATGCCTCTAGCTCTACTGTTTTAAGGAAACATTGCTGATGGAAGTTGGGGGAAGACTACTCCTTGGAAACAATGGTTCGCTTAGGAACATATGGAAAACCCTGGAGGATCAGACCAAAGGCCTGTCTAGTCCAAAGGGGATCAGAAAGATGCTTCAAGGAGCTTACAGGAAAGGCAAGTCCTCTGGTTTGCTCCCAGTACATGGCATTCAGAGATACCCTGCCTTAGAGATTCCATTTAACTATCATGTTAAACTGAGGGCTTCCCAATTCTGTCTGCTATGGAAATGACTTTGATGAAGGGCAGGGAACAAAATATATAACATTCAATGGACTCCACGGTACTGATGCCAATAACAGCTCATCACATGGACAACAACCAGGTGGATTGTGTCTAAGTGCATGTAGGACCGGCTCATGGGAAAAGCGGAAGTGGTACGTTCCTCATTGCTCAGTGTGGTGCTGATTATTTACATCTTAATGGCCTAGTAATGGCTGAGTAGTAGGTGGCAAGAACATTAGCAACTGGATGGAGTATCAATCCCATTACTCCTCCATATTTCTGACAAGTTGCACCGCTGCTGTGGAGTCCTGGCCGATCCTCTTTAACAGAAACAATTGCTCAGTTTTCCCTTCCTTCCAGTGCATGGCCTGTGGTCCCACTCCGAGCACAGACTGGGAGCAAGATAGAGAAAGAGAGGAGATCAACGCCGGACCAAAGTTAAAGTTTCACAAACAGAACATAACCTCCAATTCAACTGGAGTGTTTGTTGGCTTAAGGAGTTCACAATCTATGCTACGTTTATCGTCCATGATCCAGAGCCCCTTATGGGTATAGGGCCCCCTTTACAGGCTCTGTGAGGGAGAGACCAGGGAGTACAATGGGCTTCACGTTCCTGGAGCTGACAAGAAGTAAAAGCCCACCGTGTGCATGGACTACCTCTGCTGGATTATGGTCATGTGGCTGTTTCAGCAAAGGTAATTTCTCGGGTCAGCATCGGGAAGCAGTCACTCTTATTAACACAACACCAACCACTACGGACATTATATACAGCTCTTGCCACCAGTTGATCCAAAGACATGTTTGTGATGTTAACAAAACGACTCACTTGCCAACCCAATCCCCCCGTCCCTCCCCGTGAGGTAGAGAAGTATTACTGTCCCCATTTGACAGACAAGGTAAATTGAGGCACCAAGAAACTAAGAGACCTGCTCCAATTCACACACCAAATCTGTCAGGTTCCAAACACACAATGGAAAATCCTCCTGTAATTCTTCCCTGTGCTTTGTCCTCAAGGCCAGCCTTCCCCACAGCGATCTGACCATGAACGTACATGAATGCTGGATCTTCTGAACCAAAGGTTAGATATCTTAGGCAAAACAGTGACATGGCGGTTAGGGGGTTCCAGGTCTTAACGGTTTGGTTTGACAATTGGCAGGTCAGTACCGTGTGCTCGAGACGCAGGATCCCTACCAACTGCCGCCATCGGTTACTTCCAAATCTTCTCCGTTTTAAAAAGATCACAGGGCTGGCATATTCACATTTAACTTCCAAGATGTCCGTGGCAAGAAAACCACAGCAGCTAGCCTCCAAGCAACGTCTAGAGAAGCAGCCAAGCTTAGTTTTCCTATCACAACCAAGGGTTCTTGTAGAGTTCAGTGGCCCATCGATTATGATTTCTTTATTACGATGATTCACTTCTTTTCTTTCCACTTTAAGCACAATTGCCCAAGGCAGCTCGCAAAACAAAAACACAGATCACAGAATTTAAAAAAAAACACATTGTCCCCCCAAAATCCCCAATCATAACAACTGGTCGTAATACATTCTATAATCACAGGGGGTTGCAGAGAAATCTGAAGCAGAGCTGGAAAGCGACCCAAAGGTTGGTTTGGATGGGTATTGCTTTGATAACATCTTATAAGACTACTGAACGCTTATTCCCCCCAAATCAGGAATACGTCCATGTGTTCCACCCGGTGCCTATATCTGGGCCCAGGGGAAATGGTCAGCTCTGTATACAACTGTGCACCAATATCATTAAAAAAATGTGTTGTCTTTAGAAGAAGGAGCTGTTTAAAATACTTTGTTGTGAACACCCCTAACAGTTCTACAATCTGAGCATCTGGCCCTAGTTTAAGTTTACTGAAATACAGAAAATGCAAAACAGAAGCGTAACATGTTATAAAACACTCTCAAAATATTGAATTGCAATATCCCTGTCCCCCCACCCATCCCCACCCCCCGGTTTTTGTACCTCTGGTGCCAGTTTGGCAGAAACTTCGAAACAGTTTCTTTTTTTATACATTTTTAAAAAATTCATATTTTTAAGCAAAAGAAAGTCACTAGTTTTTTAAAAAAGGAGCTTGAAGTACAGACTTTCTAAAACACAGCTAAAATTGTTTTCCTCTATAAAAGTGTGAGTTATTTTTTTAAAAAATTACCTAGAGGTGTCAGACCTGAAAACAGAATTTTCACAGTGTTTTCAGTGTTGGCTGTTTACAAGGCATTAATATTCTACACAGAGATAGAGAGATACCATTCGGCAGTTAAAATAACTTCATATCAGCCAGACCATTATTTATTGCCAGTTATATATTATCATCTTTTTTAAAAAAATCAAACACAGCTGAAATATCCTTGTGCATTTATTAAAACATACCCTATTGTCCAATCTGAGAGTAAAATTACTATTTATGAAACTCTTTACTGAGCATTTCGTGATAGTTTAACAACCTCACTCTGTCTTGGCATCTTTTAAAGATGGTGTCAACAGATTTCTCTCCCTATTGGCCTTGAGTAGCAGAAATTGGCATCATACACTAGGCAGGTGTGAACTCTCGGCAAGACAAAATGGGAAACGTGTCCGCTTCTGCAAAACTGCTGCTGGTTTTCATCAGTATTTAGGGGAAAGGTGCTGGTGGCTAGAAACGTTTCCATTTTGGCCTTAGGACAAAATTAGAACATTTGCTATCAGGATTATGACATGTGCTAATGCAAAGCTTGTACCAAAGAAGAAGAAGTCACCTTCCCTGCAGCCAAACATAAATGTAGCACCCCAGAATAGAGGAAGAGACATCCAAAAGGGCACGAGATGAAGGTCACCCTGATTTCAAATTGCCAACGGTGGCCATTTTGCTCTATTATGAAGTTACGCGTATCATGGTATCCCTTTATCTCTGTTGGTTGATAGGTGTTGGTTTGTGGCACAGAGGATAAACCATAAGGGGAGGGGAAAGACATAACTTTGTGTCCTTGGATTGGTTTGCAAGCACCAGTGACCTCTCTGCTCCCTTTTTGGCAGAAGGACTGCACTGCATCTAAAACAGAAGCGTGTATTATACACACGGGACATCTGGGTTTCTTTACATGGAGTCTCCAAGAGAGTCAGAATCATCCAAGGACAGAGGCAGGTACAAGTCCTGTCAGAAGAAAGAAAGAGTGTTAACTCCCCCCAATTGGCCTCTCCGGCATTAACAAGCAATTACTTGTGTGGGATTGAGACTTGCATATATGAAAATATTTTATGTACATTGCTCCGCCCAGTCAAGTCTACTGTATTAGCCAGGTTCCCCCAGAGTCTTAAGCACAGAAGAGCTTTTTCCAACACCTGCTTTCTGAGATCATTTTCAACTGGAGATGCCAAGGATTTAATCTAGGATGTTCTGCATGAAACACAAGGTAGTTTATTCCCTCTCTCGGGGGAACTCTGGAAGTTACAGTTCATGGAACAGATGGAGGGGAAGGACTAGGAAACTTTTAACGATGAATTCTCAGTACCTTACCAAGCTACATTTACCAGAATTCATTGGGTTCAAACCGTGATGTAAAATCAATGCAAGTTTGTAGCACACACAGGTCCTCAGGTTCACTGAATTTCATGGGTACAGGGAAAGTGTCATCGCCATGAGCTGAATGAAGTGTTTGCAACATTATTCTTGTTTATTATTTCTAAACTCCTTTTCTGCAGAGTACCCAAAGCATGAGAAAGCAAGTAACAAATGAACAGAATACTCTCCTCCTCAACTGGGTAAAACATAAACTCCCCCCCATTTTTTAAATCTACAGCCCAATATATCTATGACATCAGACAGAAAATAAATTGGCAGAAGAGAGGATGATGCTGGAAGGCAGGCAGGCATTTAAGCATATTTTGGATTAATTTACAGTACTGCAATGGGCTGCTTTTATTTTTGAAAATTCTTTTTGTACTTCCTCTAAATTGCAACTGAAACTCATTTTATAAGAAGGAATTAAATGTTAAAATATTAGGAAAGATGCACGATAAAATTCAAGAATTGCAATTCGACAAACTGGCACCACTCTGCTTTCAAAAGCATAGCAGAAATGGAACATTCTCTGTGCTGCGGTGGACCTTTTTAATGAAAGGAACCTGAACAAGGAATCCCCCCAAGATTCTCATCGCTAAGGGTGGGCTTGGGGATCCATCATCTAGAAGGCTATATGTGAAACAGAAAGAGGCGAGAGTTCCCCGTTTCAAACATCTTAAATGTATCTAGATAAAAGCTTATTTTAATCAGCCTTGCGTATATTAACTGGAACTCTAGCCATACCATCCGCTGAAGCCACAGCTGTTGCAACTGTCCGAGTGGTTATTTGGGATGGTGGTATTGGACAGACCTCAAAGCAGCAGTGCAATCTGGGAACTGTGCCCAACCATCCTGTGCCATGGATGCTGGATCACATCCGAGAACTGAAAGCAGCATTCCAGAATCCTCTGGAAAGATCCTAGAATACAGCTTTTGGATGATAAGAACACAGTGGCTTTAGAGAACAAAATGTTTGGTGTAGCCAGTTTGGTGTAGTGGTTAAGTGTGCGGACTCTAATCTGGAAGAACCGGGTTTGATTCCCCCACTCCTCCACTTGCACCTGCTGATGTGACCTTGGGTCAGTCACAAGCTCTGGCACAGCTGTTCCTAAAAGAGCAGTTTGTGTCAGAGCTCTCTCAGCCCCACCCACCTCACAGGGTGTCTGTTGTGGGGAGGGGAAGGAAAAGGAGTTCGTAAGCCACTCTGAGACGCCTTTGGGTAGTGAAGGGCGGAGTATAAATCCAATCTCTTCTTCTTCTTCGTCTTCTTCTTCTTTTGCCTAGAGTTGCTAGACCAGCAAACTGGCAGTGAAATCTTGAACAGAGTTTACCCCCCTTCTAAGTGCATCAAAGTCAATGGGCTTAGAAAAAGCCTTCTAGGACTGCACTGGAGATATCTGTTTTCTTTTTATGTCTCCTGATGTCGACAGTGGAATATGGTGGGAGGGAAACAGTGGCCAGTGGGGCCTGTATCTTTACCCTGCAGGCACTGGGATCGAGATCAATGCCATATTCCTATTCAGGGCACTGAAGCGGCACCGTGGTGATCCAGCTTCCGTCTCAGCACTTGCCAGTAAGGATGTCGGCTTTCCTGCTCCTTGATCACCACTCCGGCAGCGGCCAAGCAGTACTTTATTTATTTAGAATGTTCAAAAAAAAAATCGTGCTCAAGGCAGCTAACTATAAAATAAACAAGCGACAATGAGTTCTAAACCATTTAAAATATTAATAAACCCCCCCAGCGATAAAATTTAATAAAACAGTGAAGGAGTTAAAATACCAAAAGTGGCTATAAAATTATCTCAAAGCCTGGTTGAAGGGACTTTTTTTTTCCAGCCGCACACAAAAGCTTATACCCAGAATTAAACCTTCGGTCTGTATCAGTGAACAAGGAATTTCACATTACCCTTTTTAACCCATTTTGAAGCTGTTTTTGATCCGTCATGGAGTAAACTGGTATAGGGCTGCCATTTCACACATGGCTTTCCCCTTCCAGTAAAAAGCTGGATCTGAAGTGGTTTGCCATTTCAGACTGCACCACTTTTTCCTACTCTCCCGGTTCAGATGCGCTTTTTCTCGCTGTTTTTCACCCGCGCGGGCGATCTCCGCCTTTTTTTAACGTTTGCTTTAGAGCGCTATAGCGCTATAGCGCTATAACACAACACTCGAGGCACTCCAATGGGGTTGATATAATACTCTTGCATTATGGCGTTATACCATTATAGCGCTATAGCGCTATAAAGCGAACGTTCAAAAAAAAAGAGCAAAACCGGAGATTGCCCGCGCGGGCGAAAAACAGCGAGAAAAAGCGCATCTGAACCGGGAGAGGAAAGTGAAGACTACTTGGAAGTGGTTGACAGGTAAAATGCTTCAGCCCCGTTTCCTAAATGGGACAGA